TCTTCTGGGATGGTCTGGGCTGGTTTGTGGTAGCTGCCTCAGGCTATTTTCTGCAATTTCTTCCCCGAGAGGCTGGTGAATAGGGAGGGGCTGTCTTTCAGGTCCCCTCTGCAGAGAGCAGGCTGCAGGGCCCGCAGCTCACAGCTTCTGGAAAAGTACTGCTGACGACTGGAGTCAGCTAGGCAGCAACCCCACACCTGGGCGAGGGGGACTCTGCAACTTGTGGGAGGAGCTGGGCAGGCAAGCTGTCCTCAGCCCTCCCTCCACGGTCACGGTCATGGTCACGGTCACTGCCAAAGGCCGGGGACGGACGCTGTCCACAGAGCAGGCACAACAGGTGTGCAGGGAACAAGAGACGCAGGCTGTGTAATTAAGGCCTCCACACACCTGTTGGGAGCTCACCCATTCACACCCCTAACAGGTGGCTCGCACTTCCAAGGAAGAAAATCACAAGAACAGCTCAGATGAAGGAGAAAAGCTCTCTATGGGGAGCCTGCAGCCACCGGCCCAGCCTGTCTAAGGTGACACTGGTGCCAGCAGCTCCCACCTGATACCCCAACCCTTGGGGACAGTTCTAGGGGGCTGGGGTGGGGCTCTAGAGTGACAGAGCACAAACTGCCAGGTGGTGTGACTCTGGGCAAACTCCTTGTTCTCTGTGAGCCTCACCTGCCCAAGCTGAGCAGGATTCTAAGGAGTAGGGCCTGGTGCAGTGGGTCTGCATACTCAGCAAACATGGATGAGCTCCACTCTGTACCAGGGACCCCGGGACACGGCCAGACAGTGTGATAGCTTACAGTGGGGGTCGGGGTGCACCACACAGTGAGGACAGCTCTCCAGGTGCTGAAGGAGCAGTGACGGGGCTTTGGGAACAGGGCAGGCAGCAGTGATTTCCCCCTTGAACTGACCGACCCCTGGAGGGAAAGAGCATTTCCTGCTTGGCTCACTGGGAACTAGGCAGGTGCCTCCTGTCTATTGACTCACTCTACCATCCAGCTGTTAGGCAGGTTCTTATCCCCACTTTACAGATGAAGAAGCTGAGGCCTTCAGAGGTAAAGTGACAGGGTCAAGGAAGATAGGGCACCATCAGAAGCCCAGATGGTCTGTGGAGAACAGTCCAGGAGGGTCTTCCCTGGAGGGGCGGGTCTGAAAGGCGGTCCTCACAGAGCCACACGGGCAGTGACAGGTGTGTGGGACACTCCAGGTGATCACAGCCGCTCTCCTACTGAGCCACTTGCTGCCTGGGGCAGAGGGAGGCAGACGCAGGCAGGGTTTCCAATCCCTTCCTGCAGACAGGGGGACTGAGGCAAGCTGACAGCCGACCTGCACCATGGCTCCCACCTACTTCTATTGCTTTACGGACACGACTGGCTATGCCATTTGTAGGGCCTCCAAGGAGACCACTGCCTTCCAGAAAACCCAAGGAAGTCCAAGCCTCCAGGCAGTCCAAGAAATGGGCAGGCTGAGGGTCCATCCGGAAATAGCCCCTTTACCTTGTGGACCTCAGCTCCCTCACTAGGACATGGTGTGCAGCAGTGCTACCAGGCTGGCAATGGTGCAGATGTGCTGAGGCCATGGGCGCCTGAGTCATGGTTGGCCCAGGGCTCGATGCCCCAAAGTGCCCAAGAGCAAAGGGCATCTCGCTCCCACGGCTTCTGTGCGGCCTCGGCACATCCCTGGAAAGGTGGGCAAGAACCGTCCAGCGAGAGCTTTGGCTCTGTGGCAGGCGCTGTGTGGGGGGAGGAGGGGGCACCGCGTGCAGAAGCTTCAGGTGTTGGAACAGACCTAGACCACTGAGGCTTCCGCGGGGCTGATCTATGAACCCCTCTCTGTGCTGGGGACTTTCAAAGCCCAGCTTTCTGATGAAGGTGTAGAAAGAATAAAACATAGAACTTGGCAAAAAGCACGCACACCCCCAGAGCAGACCCAGGCTGCAGGGAAGCTGGGTCCCCACCTGTCTTCTGCAATCAATACTAGCTGGAGGCGGCAGACACCTGCGGGGTGAGCCCAGAGCCATCTCCTTCCTGGCTGGGGCTGGGGGTGAGGAGCTGCTCTTGCACACCCCACATGTGCTGTCACACGGGGAGGGAGCCGGGTGCCAGCCCCAGCCATCTGAAGACCCAGTGGCAGGAAGGTGGGCTCTGGAGCTGTTTCTTCACTGGGAAGTGGAGACACAAGCCCTTGCCAGGCTGTCTGGATCAATGGACCCTGAATGACGCAACCATGTCGGCCCATAGCACCTGGCACCCAGGCTGGGCTTGGAAAATATACTTACTGATAATAATGAACACACATGCTTATTACTGCATCATTATACATTACACGTGTCAGCGCACCAGGACCTCCCTTTTATGCCAGGGAAAACTGAGGCCCAGAAAGGGAGTCTACTCTCTTGAGTTTCCTACAGAACAGGAAACTACCAGAAGATGAGCCCTTCCCCTTGCCCCCAAAGGTGGGTCTGTAGTGCCTGAGCTCCTGCCTGGTCTCTACTGAAGCAGGTTTCAGGTCAGAGTGGGGTGCAGTGAGGTCTGACGGGGAAGCTACTGTTCACAGGAGGGTGCTGGGCCGGGGAGGGGGGAGTGCTGCCCACGCTCTCCACAGCCTATACACCAGGGCATCACCGGCACTCTCTTCCTAGTCCTCCACGGAGAGCGAACCCCTGGAGAGTGAACCCTGTGTCTCCCCTGACCACAGCAGGCCGGGCGCCTAGCACAGTGCCTGGAATGGGACATGCTCGTGGGACAGGGATGCCACTGAACTGGCCTGGGGATGGACAGCTAGCTCGCTCCCCATCCAGGACAGGCTGCAACCCCGGCCTGGCGGTGGGTCCTGGGCAATGCACGTCATCACCCCTTTTTCCTCAGTGCAAAGGAGATAACAGCACCCCTCCTTGACAGGACTTAAAGAAGCTGCTGCAGGGGATGGCAGACCACACAGTGCCCACAGCAGCCGGGGCCGTGTAGTGGAGAGCTGTGATTTCTACGGCACCTCACCACACTGCAACACTAGGACCAGCCTCCAAAACCCGCCTGCCAAGATGGCCCAGGCCACTTCCTCAAGCCCAGGACCCTCTCTGTCTCTGACCTTTGCTGGCCACAGGCTTTGTCTGAAACAGGGCCTCTGGGTTCCTGGGCAGGCTTCATCTCCTCGAGAAGGCTCACAGCGCCCCCTGCTGTCGGCCACGAGGGCCGGCGCCAACCTCAGCCCAGGGGCACAACAAAGCCAGCTCAGAGGGGCTCCTCCAGGGCCTGCAGACCCCGTCAGAACAATGGCAGGGAGTAGAGGTGCGGCACGCAATTAAGTCTGGGGGATGCTAATCCCGTCTTCTCAAAATAAAAATAAAACTCGAGATCGAACAAAGCGCTTTCCCCTGTCATGGGCCGCCTTTTGTTTCCCGGATAAGTGTCATCGGACGGCGCTGTGGAACTGAGCGGGCTGGCGTTTCCACCGGACGGTTTCCAGATCAGCACGTGCTGTTCAGGGCGATCCCACTTTGATCTGGCAGTTCTTAGACTGGACTCTTTTTGAAACAGCAGAAGCACGCTGACACGGACACGGGAGGCTGCGGAGCCGCCTCTTGGGCTGAAGAGGCCCTCACTGACAAGCAGCGACATGGAACCACCCCGAGAACGCCTCTCCCCAGACTGGGACTGCCATGCAGGGGCCCAGGGCCACAGCTGAGGCCCAGAAACCAGCCAGGACAGCACCTGCACCAGCACTGACTCCCCACCACTGTGAGTCACACAGACAGAGGGGGCAGCGATTTCTGAAGCGAATCCCCCAAAGGGCTCCCCATTCTTTAATCGACCCAGTGGGAGTACAGAGGGTAGATTCCACACAAAGAGTTCTTTCTAGTCTCCCACATACAGCACTTATGTTTTGCATCCACCCTTGGCCTCCCAAGGCACGAACGAAACAGGGACTCAGCTTTTCCAACCTCCAGGCTAGAACTCAACAAACATGGGTGAATGAATGGGGCTTACATGGGGAGCCTTAAACATTCACCCCGTGCAGGCCGAGGAGCTGCAGTTCCCCAAGCACTTGAGGTGGCGTCAAGGCTCGGCCAGCAGCCCAACCGGGCTGCCTCATCCTTCAGAGGCACAGCTCCCCTGCTCTGCCCCACCCAGCATGCGTCTGGGGAGCACACGGCTTTGAACGCCTTCCCTTATGTGCCCAAACATGGGGGCTTCCCCACCCAGGGCACCTGGCTGATCTGAAGATCCACAGTGCCACCAGCCGGCGCGGGGCTGCACAATGGGCCCTCGGGTGCTATCTGGCCACGGACTTTGCCCTGAACGCTGTTTGCTCTTAGAAACTGAATTAGTTGCCAGCTTCCTCTCCCTAAAGATCCAGATCGCCAGTTGCTCTTTCACAAACGTGGGAAAGACCGGCCTAATGAAGTCTGCCTGCTTGCCGGGCGTCACAGACAGGCTTCCGGCTCGGCTCCCCCACCCCACCTCCTGGCAGGCCCCTTCCATGCCAGGCCCCAAGAGATCGCGAGTCTCTGACCTCTGAGTAGCAGCAGCTGATGGACTGCAGCACCCTCATTCCAGAGTGGGCTCTCCAGAGATGGCAAGCAGGCCAGTGGCCCCTGATCCTGACTGGACAACACGGCCCCTCGGGAATGCGGTCAAATACTAATGTCTAGGCTCAGCCCCAACCAGCAGAATCCAACTCTCCAGGGGCAGAGCCTGAGCACATACAATTACAAATGCCGCCAGGGGATTCACATGTGCCGCCCCCAGGAGAACCACCTGAGGGGCCGATCGCGAGGACCTGGCCGTCAACCACACAGGTGCTGGCCCTGTCCTCTCGTGAAGGGCAGGAGCAGGCTGACCACCTCTCTCACCTCACCTCTGAGGTGATGGCTCCCGCTCAGGTGCTGTGACCCGGGTCTGGGATTAAGGCAGATACATCACAGGCAGCCATGAGGCTGCGCGGGCCTCCGTGGCACAGGAGGGCTTCCCCACAGGCTCTGGCAGGCCCGTCACCCACCGTCTCACCTGAAGAGCTCGCGGATCTCCCGGCTGTTGGCCTGGAAGGGGATGTTCCGCACCAGGATCTTGGAGGTTGTCTGCTTCCTGGCAATTTGCTTCTTCCGTGTGGTGGCTGTCACGGCTGGCCTGCAGGGTCAGGCACAGGTGCAGGTTAAGTGGGGTGTCAGCTGTGGTGGTCCATGCTGACTCCATTCCCCCATTTGTCCCCCTACATCCCTCCATCAATGCTCCTGTCCTCTGTCACACACCCTGGGGGACCAAAGGTCTTATTCAGGGCCCTGTAACAATCTCACTGTGGAGATGCGTATGGAGTGTGGGCTCCAGGTCACCCCAACAAAGGCCTGCCTTCCCTGGGCTCTGATCCTGGGGTCACCTCTATTCCATGGAGGCAGGGCGGGGTCACAAACAAGGCTGCACCTTAACAACCTGGGCGTGAGAGCCACACTGGCACCTGAGGATTGGAGGGATATGAGCAAGTGACTGGAACTCTTGGCCTGTTTCCTCAGCTATGGAACAGGCAGGCCCCCAAACAGTGCCAACCTCATCAGATTGTCGGAGGTTTTGAGTGAGGACATGACAAGCTCCACGCAGTGCCTGCCACGAGGCCTGTGGTGAACTGACGTGGCTATCGGGATAAAGGCTCTTGCTGACTCACTTCCTTCCAGAATGTCCCAAGTCACCTCCTCAGAGCCTGTCCCTCACTGTCACCACTAAAACAGTGACCCGCCTTTATTTTCCTTCCTGGCACTCCCTGGGATTTGATAGCATGTTACATATTTAATTCCGTTTCTCTTGATGGTCTGTCCTGCCCAATATGGCAGCCCCTGGCCACACACAGGTAGTCACATTGGAACGAAAAGGAAACAAAAATCCCAAATCTAGTTCTTCAGATGCTGGGGTAGCCGGCCTCCAAGATGGCCTCCAGTGATGCCTGCCCCTCCCTCCCCCCGCCACAAGAGTCATGCTCGTGGGGAGCCCCCTCCCACACTCCATCAGGACAGGGTGTATGACGGACAGAAGGCCGACGCAGAAGTGACAATGTGCCACGGACACTAGGTTTAAGGACACTGCTGCCGCCTCCTGGCCCTCTGGGTCACTTGGCCTGGGGTGGCTGGCTGCCCTGCTCTGAGGACCCCCACCCCACCTGCAGTCCTAGGGAGAGGCCCGGCCTGTATGATGAGGAGCCGAGGACTCCGTGAACACCCGCATCAGTGATGCATTAGGAGAGGCTGCATCAGGCCCAGGTGAGACTTCAGGTGAGACTGTAGCTCTGGCTGCCATCCTGACTGAGGGCCTGTGAGGGAGCCAGACTCCCTAGAGTAGCAGACCCCCAAACTGTGAGATAATGATTATCTGCTTCCCATTTGGGGGTAATTATTATGCTGTGATAAAGCACACAAGTACACTTCAAGGGCCCGAATGCCACGTGTAGCAAATGGCTGCCATGCCAGATAGTACAGATGGAGAACATTCCAGAACATTTCCATCACTGTAGAGGGCCATGGAAGAGCCCTGCCCTCGAGTGGAAACTCCATCCTCAGCACCCTCAACAAGTTGGTGTTGAATGAAAGACCTGGGAACTGAGAGCTTGCAAGGTGACCTGGCCCACCTCCCAGAGACAGCACTAGAAAGGAAGGGGGCCATGCTGGCTGCATGCGCCCAAGCTCGAGGCTTTCTGTGTGACCTCTGGGGTTGCAAGGTTGGCTGCCCAAGGTCACAGCGCTCCTGGACAAACCCAAAGCTGTGGGCTCAGAGCCTGGACCCCACACTCACACGGTTGCTTAGGAACCCACCAGACGACAGAGGGCCCCTAGGTCAGGGTGGCATAGCCCCCAAGGGATGACCACCATCAAGGTGGTCCCAGCCAGATCCACAGGAAGCAGCTGAAAACAAAGCTGGGGGCAGGGAGCTGCAGCAGCTCACCTGCTCAACACTGCCCACTTGCCAAGACCACCAGCTGATACCGTAAAGCAGCCCTGGGACCACCAGGGGTGGTCATTCCAACACCCGAGGCGGCGGGTGATAACGACAAGGACAATCATAACAGTGGTTTCCACTGGGCTCGTTACACGCTAGGCCCCGGTTGAAGCCCCTCAGGTGAAGGAGTTCATTTCAGCACACGAGCAGATGGAGGTGCAGGAGCACAATACAGATCTTAAAAACAAGGCCCCTCCTTCAGGAGACCAGTCGCTGGGCAGCCTGGTCTGGGCAAGCGTCTAACACCTGCTGAATCGCTTTCAGATTAACTGGAGGCATCTCTGGGCGCTGCTGCCTGGGTCCCAGAAAGCACGGCCTCTGAAACGAAGGTCGAGTCTGTATAGCCTTTCTGGGTTCATCAGAAGTAGCAGCAACATGCAACTCCTCCTTGCTTTATTTACACCTCCAGGAGGAAGTGGAATTTGCTGGTTTCTCCTGCACATGTTGCTTTTGTGGTAATAAATGTGCACTGAATATTTACTTCAAGCACTGGCCCAAGCCCGGGACAGCAAGGAAATGTCGGGGTTGGCAAATGGGACACGATTGGCAGTAGGAAGCATCCCAAATGGGTGTGCAGTCAGCAGCGAGGACATCAAGGGGCCAGGAGACCCCCTCTGGCCTGCCAGTACCTGGGCAGAGTGAGGGGAGAGGAGACAAGAGGACTCACCTGGTGGCCCGCTCCGAGAGACGCACCTCCAGCTGGTGGCCATGCACGACGTGACCCTGGAGACGAGACAGCACAGCTGACCCTCTATCACCCGCGTCCGGGTCCTGCCCCTGAGCACCCTCAGCTGCGGGAGGGGAAAAAGCATCCCCGAGGGAGCTGCTCCCCAGGCACAGGGGTTGGGATGGAGGGCTTGGGCATGGCATTCCTGGAAACAGCTCAGGCTGAGCCCCGGCAGCAGCTGGTGGCCAGAGACCCAGCCCTGCAAGGGCCTCTCGAGCTGTGAGCGGGCCTGGACCGTGACGCCATTTGAGGGGCACAGAATTTTCCGTTGTTTATCAGTGTTTCCAGGCAAATAAGCCCCGCTTCCGCCTGGCTAGCAGTGAGCTTGGTTTAGTTTGTGTGCTCTTTAAAAAAAATTCTAAATCACAGTGGAGCTGCAACTAAAGCCAGGCTCTAGCCTTGGTCCCTTAAGGCAAAACTGGCGTGTTAGCAAAATTACCCTCGGAAATCCCTTAAATCTCCCATAAAATACAGCACACGAAGCTTTGTATAAACAAGTCCTGGTCACGGTAGGCACATGTGTGCGCCGGCCGTGAGGCACAGATGGAATCGGGCCCATGTGCAAAGTGGCATTCCGACTTCTAGAAGGGGAAAGATGGCCTGCTGAGTGCACAGGGCGCAATGCTGTTATTTCTGGGGTCTCTTGAAACAACAACAAAAACTGGAGATCCAATGTGGTGGGGGCAGGGGAGCCGGGGGGCGGGGGCAGCAGCTGTGCTTCAGACAGGGCAGGAGTGCCAGGCTGTGTTCTGCAAACATCCACCTCGCTCGTGCACCAGCCCTCCCACCCCCCGCAGGCTTCTGGCTTCTCTGGCTCCGGGAGTGGAGGAAGGCAGAGAGAGACTTTCAAAGTGAGAGCAGAAGCCCAGGGCTGCTTCCTCTCCATCGTCCCCAGGCCCAGCTTAGCCCTCTGTGGGGCTGCCGGGTCCATGGAAGGAGTCATAATCCCACAGACCACTGCACGGGCCACGGGCCACATTCTGTTTCTTATAACCGTCAAGGCCTTGAAACTGACTGGGAAGCTCCACTGGGAGAGTCACTCACCTGGAGGTTCCCGGGGAATAAAAATAGCTCCCAAGGGAAGGTGGCCCTGTGTCCCACCCAGGCGGGCCTGGCTGAACACCCCTCAGAGGTTTGGCCTTTTTCCCCCGTTCTGGCCTCAGCTGGGAGGCCCGAGTTAGCTGCCCTGCCTCCAGGGGACACGGGAACAGCACACCATGCTCGTGGCTCAGAGCGCCCTCAGCCCCATGAAGCCACTCTGTGGACCCTGGCTTCAGAAGCCTGTTCTGGGGGCACCATGGGCCCCTGCCTGGTCACTGTGTCACCTTTTGCTGAACAAGGGACAGGACGCACCATGGGGAGCAATGGGTATGCAGAGGCAGCGGCCTGTGAGAAGGCTCTGTTCCTCATTCCCGGACCCTAAAGGACCTAGGGCGGTGGGGAAGGGGCTAAGAACAACATGTTAAGCTGAACCGGGTTCACTTCGAGGTGGTCCAGGCCTCAGGCCCCCAGCTATGTGGGGCCTCAGCTCCCTTCCTGCCAGGGAAGGCTCCATCTGTTCCTGCACTTGGGGCATAGCCAGAAGGCATTTCTCTCTACTGTGTAAGCGGGGGGCGGGGGGGGGGGAATCCAGCCCCTTTCCCCTGCCTGCACCACCTCACCCTGGCCACCATCCTCTCTTGCCCCAAAGACCATGGTCTCTTAGCTGCACTCCTCTGATCCATTCTTCAGACAGCAGCCGAAGAGACTGTTTTGAAGCAAAAGTCAGACCCTCCCACCATGTGCTCCACGATGACATCTCACCTCCTTTATTCTGAATTCCAGTCCTTAATGGTGCACAGACTCCAATCTTGACCACTTCCTATCTCTCACACTGCCCCTGCTGCTCTGGCCTTTCTCTCCTCTAACACACGAAGTTCACTCCTGCCTAAGAGTCCCTGCCACAGGCTCTTTGCACATGCCACTCCCTCCTCCTGGACTGCTTTCCCCCAGAGCTTTATGTAGCTGGCTCCTTCTTGTCACGTTGGTGCCAGCTAAACAGGCACCACCTCAGAGAGGCCTCCCCCACCGTGGCACCTGCTCCAGTCCATCCAAGCGCTCCCCATGCCCCCGGCTTATGGGTTTATTCCCAGGCCATCTTTGCCAGTCTCCCCCGACACCAACCGGACCCTTGAGAAGGAGCCATGGATAGAGTGAATGCTTTATGACAACAATGGGGGACCGGGGTGGGGGTGGGGTGGGGCATGTTTTTCTTGAACCATGTCCCCCTGCAGACCTGGAGAAAATGACGGGCCCAGGAGAATGTGAACTTAACTACATTCCACTCCAGTTCAGAGGGGTGATGGGTCCCCTTAACACCTGCCAGGGGCCCACTGGACGTTGGGGTGACTCCCCACCTTACCTGGAGTTGCTTGAGTGCTTTCTGGGCCTGCTCTGGCTTCCTGTACTCCACAAATCCAAAGCCCATGGACAGCAGTGCTCCTGAAAGAGAGGGACAGCACGGGCGTGGTGGGCGGGAGGCTGAGCACCGGCCCAGCGCAAGGCCTCGACAGCCACCCACGACTGCTTCATGCTCTTCTCTCCCCTCCCCTCCTCACTCCCAAGAAAAGTCCAGCCCCTGGCTTGCCATTTATTACAAGTCATCTTGACGAAATCAGCCGAGGTTATACAGCCGCCACCTGAGGCCCGGCTGACTATTAATTAACAGATGATTGACATGATAATTAACTTCGTAATAGAATTCCGCCTCTGGGAGGGAGAAGGCACGCGCAGGGATGACCACTGGATGACAAGCTAGGAAACCTCCACCCAGGCCCCCCAGACGCAGCTGCGCAAGCCAGGCCCGGAGCACCGCAGGGCTCCCCCACAGCTATTTCTGGCCACCTGGTTATGTCCGGTGCCCGAGTTTCAGATACCAGGTTCGGACAGGGAGAGCAACCGGATAATCCCTGTTCTAGGTAGGGAGTAGCATGAGATTGGCCAGCGGGACATATCTCAAAAATGTCCTGTAAAGTGCTGCTTCCCAGCTTCCGACACACGAGACCCAGCTACAGAGACGGGCGTGCACACGGGTCAGTGTGGGCAGGAGATGCCACAGGGAGGGTAAGATCTTGAACTGCATTTTGCCCTTTGGATGTAAAATGGGATACATACTCCCTCCCCCACTCCCCAGGTATTGACCTCATTCCTTATTTCCGTCACAGCTGAACTCAAATAGGATTGGCTCAAGATCCACTACTCGTGGACTACTGTGCTGATTGTGAGGCAGCGCCCCTGCCAGTGCACCTGCATGCAGGTATGGCCAGTCCCGGCCACATGTCATAAAGTGCGGCCAAGGCAGTACAGGGTTCTCTGGACTGCCCAAAAGGCTCTGGGGGTGACAGGAGGGAGGCTCCTCTGTTAGCTGGTGGACAGTGCCACCCCGTGGTGACTTAGATGTTGCCTCTTCAGCCGACATCTCAGCGGTCCTTGGGACACTCAAGGTTGGGGGTGTCAGGTGGGCGATGTCTTTGTGCACAGGGTGTTTACAAAGTGCACTGGGGTGGTGGGAAAGGCAGCTAGAAAGGCGAGTCCATCATCCAGGTCCTGAGGCTGATCCCCTGGCATCAGGGCCGCCCTCTGTAGCTGACCTACAATGTCCCCACGCTCTGGGTCTTCTGGTTCCCGTCGGCTTGCACCAACGGGAAGCCCTGATCTGGGCTGGTCAGCAACCAGTGTGGCTTCCAGGCACCCACTGCCTCCCTGCTCCGGGCTAGTGCTGGTGATGCCCACGTCCGAGCTACACCCTCAGCTCCACTGGTGGCAATTATGTGGCTCTGGTCACCCCCTTCCCTCCCCTCAGTTCTTTGGGTTTAGTGGGAGGAGGGCCGGGACAAACCCTGGGGTCCCCAGTCCGCCCTCACATGCTCCTTTCTGACAAAATCTCTTCAATAAGCCCAGCGGAGTCAGACACTTCCCTCACTGCTGCAGACGCTGTCTAGATCTCCCTCCCCTCAAAACTGGGATGGATGAGCCCCTGAGAACAGGGCTCTCAAATGGAGGCTCTTGAGAAAGAGAGCACAGGTTTCAAGAGCTGCTCGCGACACTGGGTGCTCAGGTAGCTGTTTCTAAAGCTGCTGAAGAGCGCTCTGGGGGAGCAGGCTCGGGGGGCAGCGGCTGGCAGGAGGAGACCCTGTACCACACAGGGCCCGTCCAGGATGGAGTGTGACCTCAGACTTGCAGCTTCCAGGCTGTGAGACAGTTAATTCTCTGATGATGAAGCCACCTAAATTGTGGAACTTCATCACAGCATTCTGACTACAAGGGGCTCCCCACAGCACGCATCTCCCTGACACACTCTGTGGCTCCCTACGGCCCTGCCCTGCCTCCTTCCTCCCTCCCAGCCCTGTGCTGGGTCGCCCCCCGGGGCCGCTAGACCAAGCCCCTGGTTGTACTCGGGGTGCTGTGCCCACCAACTCATTTGTCTCTCAGGACACACCCTGATGTCATACCCAGACATCCGCAGTGGATATCTGTGGCTTCCTACACAAGGGGAGGGCAGGACTGTGTAGCTGTGGGAAAACAAGGGTGGGGGGCCTGTCCATCCTCTGCAGGGAGCCAGGGCTGGAGAAGACACCGGGGAGAGGTCTGGGGACTCCTGACAACACCCAAGGGAGAACAGAGGTAAGGGTGGAGTGTCCCAGGAAGGTGCACGGTTAGTGGAATGTTTTAGATGTTCTATGTCTGGATTATTAATTTTGCTTGGAAGGGAAGAGGGAGACCCCAGTATCAGTCATTTCCTGTTATTCCCAAGGAAATTTCCAGAACTCAGCAGTGCTGGAGGAAAGAGAGGCTTCTGCTCCTGAGCTGGCGCCCTGAAGCCCACTGCTCAGCCTCTGACAGGAGAGGTGGCAGAGCTGCTTCTCCTGAGAATAGGGCCTCCAGGGACACAGAAAAGACCATTCTAGGTGAGCCACAAATGACCAGAGGAAGCCACCAAGGATGACCTTCAAAATCACCAGCAGAGCTAGCCCGATCCCACCCGAAGCACCACCCTTAGGGAACCATTTCTGTCAAGATGTCATGTCGTTACCTGCTTTGTTCTTCTTCCTGGAGACAGAGCAGCTCTTCACCAGCCCCACCTTGGAAAACACCTGGAAAAGAAGGTAGACAGGTACCAGCAGTGTTTTGGGTGCGTCCTGCACCGGGCGGGGGGCCCAGGGCTGTTCCCCAGCGAGCCTCGCCAGCGTTCTGACCCGCAGCGTGCCCCGACCACAGCTTCCACATTCACGTCCCTGCCGGTGGCCCCGGCCGTGAACACGCGTCAGGACCACAAGCGGACACGAGCAGAGCCTGGGCCAGCCGAGGGGCTCCCTATCGCGCCCCTCCCGAGGGGTCCCGAGGAGCCACTCACGCCCTTCAGTGTCTCCTCCGTTGTGCTGAAGTTGAGGTTTTTGATGAACAGGGTGCAGCCGGGCAGGGTCTCGTCCTCCTCCTCGTCCTCGTCCTCGTCCACTGTTGCCGCAGCGGTGCCTGCTCCCCCCTCTGCTGGCTTTTCATCTTCTGGGGTCTGCTGGTCTGGCACTGCCCCACCCCCAAAAATAAATCCATTCAATGATGCTTTAAATCCTCAGCTCCGGGGCTGAAAGCACAGAACCCACTGGATCATGGGGTTTACCTCTGCAGGGGACCTGGCACCTCACTTGTGCTGGGTTGTGGGGGCAGCGAAGGGGGCAAGGGATGCAGCCACTGCCCTGTCTGTGGTGAGGAGAAAGGCTCACGAGACACAGACCGAACTGAGCCTTCAGCTGCACTAACCCTCACCCACTGGACCTTCAAGACAAACTTCTGTGTGAACTGTCGTAATGAAGCGCAACCTAAGCAACACGTTAATTTTCCTCAAAAACAGCACTCAGTGACCCTGAAAATTGAAACTGCAACTTAAGACTTGCCAAAGATTACAGAACGGGTGAACTGGTGGTAGGAATTTTATGGGGGCTCCACTTGAGAGGAAAAAGCAAATATTGTACAAAAATGAACAATGATGTAAAATATATATAAGAATATATTTACAAAAAACAAAATTACAGGGCCTCCCTGGTGGTGCAAAGGGTTAAGAACTGCACTGTGAAGCTATCCGCAGCCTCTGCAGCACGAGTCTGATCCCCGGTCGGCCAGGGAGCAACCCACATGGTGCAGCAGGCCTCTCCTGTCTCGTCTGCTGCTCCCCTCAGCAGTGTACTTTGGTCAATCTCTCTGTTCTGTTCCCCACTGTCTCTGGTGAATCCTCTCACCCCCACATCTCTGGCCTGTACCCCAGCTCTTATATGAACAAATAAATAAATCTTTAAAAAACAAAAAACAAACAACAGGAGAAGACTTGAATCATTCTAAATATCCCTCACACCTAAGGAATTGCACATTCAATCAAAGTTTCCAACATACACACACTGAGCAGGTTATGCACACAGTACATACATGAAATGACAGTCCCTGACATGTCAGTGAAAAACTGGCGGGGGGAACCCACATTACTTATTCACAAACAGGAGAGATCAGGAAAGTTACAGTGCATTTTACATTTAATTTTTCTTTCAATTTTTATACTATAAGCATTGCTTTTAACATTCTTCAGAAGCCTCCTTTTTGATGACTGCATATTATCTCAGCTCTTGGTGGCACTGTAACTTTCCTGATCTCTCCTGCTTGTGAATACATAAGTGGGTTACTGAGGTGATGGTGCACGGGCGCATTGGTGAAGGAACTCTATGGGGACTACACCTGAGGGGGTGGGGGGAAGCAAAAATTGCTTAAAAATGAACAATGATGTACAAAATTTAAAAATTAATAAAAAAAAAATGCACCATAGCCCTAACCCCACACCACACACCAAGTTTCTGAGAAACAGCTGCAAGAGAAGACCAGAGGGAGGCACGAGGGCTCAGGGTCACTCTCAGAGGCGACGGCAGCCACGCCAGGCCATCTCTCCCGCGAACATCGGAGTGTAGCTTCACATGGCACCCCTGCTGGGCACCAGGCATCTTTATTTTTTTTAAGATTTATTTTTATTTATTTATGCATACAAGAACTGGGGTGCAAGTCAGAGGTGGGGGTGTGTGTAAGAGGATTCACCAGAGACAGAGTGGGAAGCAGAACAGGCAGATCTAGGGGAAGACAGGAGAGGTCCGCAGCGCCACTGGTCAGCTCCCTGGCCGGGGATTGAACCAATGCTGCAGTGGCTGCCGATAGCTTGAGAGTGCCGAGACAATCCCTTGCGCCACCAGAGAGGCCTGGCACCGGGCTTCTTGGTACAGCTAATCGGGCTCACCAACCTGTATTTGGGCAGATGGTGGCTGGAACGTCGCTAAGGTGCCTGGCTGTAGGGAGGCTGTTGCTTCGCCCCGTTACCTCTACCCCCCTGAACCACTCCTACTCTGAAAGGAAGAGGGAGGAGCAAATGAGTCACTGAGGGGCAGGTGTGGCTGCAGTGCAGGGACACAGGAGCCGGTCAGCGTGGGGGTGACTTTCACCCAAGGGTGACTGGTGTCACCAGGTTGGGAACAGCGTCCCCAGCTCTTGTGAAGGCCTGCTTCCAAGAAATAGGCTCCATTAGGTTCAACCTTCCCAATTTCCTCCCAAGTCACATGATTGGAGTCTTGGGAGAAATTTCCTTCCACGCACACACTTCCGAAGCTACTTCCCACGCTCAGGAACTCAAATCCCATCTCGGCAATCCTTCAAGGTGGCCAGACTGTGGCCTCACACCCTTCACCCTCATGATTCTGAGCAGGGAGGCCCGGCTGTCCCTGTTCAGAACCTTGCACCCCCTGGCAAGTTGTGCAGGGAGCTCTGAACCCCAGCCTGGAGCTGGGAAACAACCCCGCTCTCCCGCACACATCTGCACGCCTATAGCTCAAACACAGCCCAAGGGGCCTTCCTGAGGTCCCAATCCATTCCCCCCGCTCCGAGGCCAAGCGCCAAACCGTCTCTGTCTCCCCTGTCCTCCCTGACGTCGGCCTAATGCTGGCAAGTACTAATTAAGCTTCAATCGCCTTGTCCTGAAACAATCCTTTAAACCCCATGGAAGCAGCTGCAGTGATAATGTCTGTTTCACATCAGCTGAACAGGCAGCCTTCACCCCTCGAGCTCCCTCGGAGATGAGCCCAGAACTCAGTCTCTCCCCCCAGGACAAAAAGAGGAAATCTACACAATGGCTCCTTCCCACCGAAGGAACTAACACAATTTACCCAACAAGGGACTTCATGGCGGGACCACTTTGTACTCAAAACCCAACTTTCAAAGCCAAGCCGGGAGGAAGAAGTGTTGCTAATGATGGGGAAGCAAAGCAAAGGAGCTAAGAGTCCAGGTTCTGACCCAGACCTCAGTGGAGATCAAAGCCATGACCTTCAGCTGGGAAGGACACAGCCACCCCCTGGCACTCCTGGCTTCAGAGACGGAAGGAGGAAGGTGAGCAGGCTCGCTGAGTGGCCTCCCTCAGGCATAGCCCACAAAGCAAGAGGCCCAAGGAAATTCCTGGAGGTGGCTGCACCTGAACCCTAAATCCCAGCACCTTGAGGCTGGTGGAGGACTAAAATAAAATAGAGAAAAGCATGGTTGATTCTTGGCCTCTAGGCTAAGAGCACATGTAGAGAAAAGACCGTGGGGGTCCTGGTGACTGGAGGGTGCTCGTCCTAGGCCCCAACTGATGGTGGCCACACGGGAAGGTTAAACCAAGGTGTTGGGAAGCTCAGATCTTTCCAGAGGAGCTGAAAATCCAGCTCTTTATGGGAAAACCCACAGGTCTGAAATCTTGGTGACTAAGTAAGGGGTGTGTGGTTCCCAAACTAGGCGGTGGTCCACTGATAAACCAGCCTTTGCCTCTGTGCGCTGCTCCTCACGGGCTGGGTGCTGACCGCTGACCTTCCCCTTGTCTATCCTGTGAGCCTAGGACCCAGACAGCTTCCAGTTTGTCTTTCCAGGATCCGAACCTCATAGGGTGAGCAGCTCAGAGGGCCCAGGAGCTGAGAGCATGGTCAGAGCCCACTCTGCCTGCTACCCTAACCCCTGAGCAGAGCGGATCCCCTTCAATGAGCTTGTTTGCGGCAGCTGCCCAGGAAGGGGTGAGGTTTGGGTTTGTGGCAGAGTTGAGGGTAGGCAGCCCAGAGCAGGTGGTCCCTGCCTAGCAAGAATGAGAGGCGACAGAGATGGCCCCCAGGATCCACTAGCTGCCGGGGTGTGAAGCTCAATTGACTCCTCCCACTTCTAACAGTCTGCACCTCTGACCCCCCAAAGCTGGGACGAACATCTATCTGGCTGGAGATGAAAGATGTGATTACCAGGGCCTGGCCTTCCTCCACAGCAGAAATGTCCCTTATTGCCCTAAACCTGTGTGTCCTCAGGAGCGATCTCCCTGTCCCAGGGCTCCACGTCCCTGTGCTAGAAGAACCGAAGGCATCCCGTCTTCAGATCTGCTGAAAAAAGGGGGGTTGCAGAAACGAGTGGGGACCCCAGACTGCAGGCAGGAGGCAGCACAGAGGTGAATAGCACATGGCCTAGAAATGAGCACAAAGGAGGTCAGCGCCCTGGCCAGCATGTGGCCTCACACCCTTACCTGCAAAAGGAGTGGGACACACACATACCCCCTGCGCTCTGGACATGGAGGTGTCTGCGGCTGTACCCGCACACTTGAGCCCCGTCCAAGCCACCTCCTCCCCACCCCAGGCACCACCGGCTGAGACTGAGCAGTCCCCTCACCGCCCCCGCAGCACCTGTCCCTGGCCCCTCTCCCCGCCATTCCAGCTGTGCTGGCCACTGTTCTGATCACCAAGCCTGCCGTACCCATTTCTGTCACAGGGCCTTTGCACTTGCTGTGCTCGCCCCCTCTGTGCACCACCCACCCTCCAGGGCCCAGATTCTTCCCGTACGGTCTCAGCTCAAATACTCCCGTTAGAGCCCCTGTCCACTCTCCCTCCGGGGGGCACCACCGGGCTATCACCTTCGTTGGCTGCCACTCCTCAGAGCCTGGGCCTATTCAGAAATCACCTTATGGGCTCATTTCTCTGTCTGTGTCCTCCATTAGATGGGGGGGTTCCTTGAGAAGGGGACCAGGACTCAATCTCCATTGTGTCCCCAGCACCTGAGGTCCAGAGTGGACCCTCCAGAACTGTGAGTGTACAGAACCCAGTTGGTGCCCAGCAGAAGGTGCTGATTTGTAGGAGAGGAGCTGAGCATTACGGCTACGAGCTGCACTGGGAGCCGGCAACAGTGGGTCACATCCACACACACCTCCAGAGGCTTGACCTTGCACAGCTCACTCAGCCCCTCTGTGCTGCCTTCTTTCCATCTAAAAAAGGGGGACAAGCTTCAGTGCCACCCATACGATGGCTCTGAGAATTAACACACAGGCCTGCTGGACGGAGCAGGGCCTGGCCTGGGGGTCAATAACATCACCTCTACTGCCCAGACTGTCCAGCCAGGCCTTGATGGGAAATCCAGAGAAAGTGCCAGAAGTCCCTTATCTAGGGGCCAGAGCTGAGACAAAGGAGGGCGGCAAGGGGAGCCTGTAGCTCTCCCTGCAAGGAGATCCCCGCCCACAAGCTTCTCAAGACATCCAGTGCCACACCTCTGAGTCCGTGGGACCAGTCCCCGCCGGTCACATCCCCCGAAGAGCTTCTGCTCCCAACTGACTTGGCCAGGCCCCGCTGTGGCCCACGCCCTGTCCAGAAAAGTGTGGAGACAGGCAAGAGCCAGGGCATGGAAACTGAAGGTCATTTTCAAAAACACTTCTGCTCCTGGCCCCACGAGGGGAGACGAAAGGGAAGACTAGAAAGAATGCAGTACTGAGGGACTCCAGCAGAGGTTGGCCAACAAAATCACCGGGAACCAGAGAGAGGGAAGAAGTGAGACCTGGAACAGGGCGGGGTGGGGTGTGGGGCGGGGGAGGTCTGCAAAGCAAGGTGGGCTGGAGGGGCTGGAGAGGCAGGCGGCTGTGCTGCCATCTGTAGTTAGCACAATCAAATCCAGTCACGCAGCGCCGCATGCGGCTTCATTATAATCGGGCACAGAATTTACCGCGGCGCCCTCCCTCCCGGCTCCGCGGAGGCTGGCGCGAGGCTGTTATCAGTGGCAAGCAGCTTCTCAGGACCTCCCCACACTCTGAGCCCTTTATCTGGAGGTGAGGGTCTTGGTTGTGGGGAGATAAAAAACACTGTCCCCCTCCCTGGAGACTGGTACGGCGAGCACAGGGCTCTGCAGAAAGAAAGGGGGGGTGAAGGGAAAAGCTAGGTCCATTCCTCCTGCTGCCTTCCTCTGAGCCCGAGCAGACCCAGGGCTTGTGGGGCGCTGAGTCCCCAAGAAGGGGGTGGGAGCTGGAGCTTCGGGAGCAGTGTGCGGGGGTAGGGCTGAGTGGGGAGACAGGGCCTGGGGACCAGGGAGGCTCTCTGTGCGACATGTATAAGAAAAGGAGCAAAAAGGGCAAACAGAGGCCCTGGAGAGGGGCTGGGTGGGGATTCACTGACCAGGTGGGGCGCAGAGGGCTGGAAATCAGTGCAGACGTAAGGGACTTCTCTCCAAACCCACCCCCACCCCGCCTGCAGCTGGCCCCCTCCTTAAGGCCTCCTTTGTGTGAGTCCCCTTGGGCCCTGAGAGTTGGGGTCAGCAGGGAAGGGCAGGCTGTTCACGATGCTCTCAACACCAGAACAGACCAGGGCCAGGGGACAATGGGCAGCACTCCAACTTCAGACTCAGATGCCTTATATCTGACAAGCCTCTCCTCCTTGGGTTCCAGAATATTTCAGTGCCCAGGCCCCCACCCGTGCTCCCAGCAGCACCGGGGGTTCAGGGAGGAGGTGGTCCTGAGCCCATCTCGGTTACCGCAGTGTGCAGCTGCTCTGGCACAGAACAAGGGACATGAAAGACTTAAGGGTCATCAGGCCCACTTCAGAGGTGGAAACTGGACCTCGGAAGAGGAGGGCGAAAGGGACCAGAGCTTACTGAATCTTAGGGACCCCCAGGAGCACCAGCAGACTTTCCAAGGGACCCCAGGGGCTCAGTAGAGTGTTTTGTTCAAATGCTGCTTTGCCCTTAGATCCACCCCGAACCCACTTACTGGGCTCCTCCCCAAAACCTGGCAGGCTCTGGGTGCTGAGCAGTGAACAAGCACCTCTGTGTGGAATGCCCATTGCAGGGGGGCTCAGACAGACAGATGGACACTAAGGAAACAAGGCTGTCTGTGATGCACCCCTGGGAAGCGGAAAGTACTGGAAATAAAATTAAGGGTGATATGGGTGGTTAAATCAGCACCCACAAAGGGAGCCGTGGCCTTCCCCACGACGGATGGTGTCCCATCCCTGGTTACACTCTGACGCTGGGCTGGCAGCGGAGGGACCGCTCAAGGTCACTGAGCTCCTGTCCAAGCCAGAGGCTAAGGACACAGTATGGGCAGCCCGCCCCTCATGGGCACAGAGGGGGCAGAAACGGGCATTCTGCCCTCACTCACCCCTCAATACACGCTTACCCGGTGACCTAGTCTGGGGCCTCGCTGGGCCCTGGCACTCAACCCTGAGCAACACACCTCACTCTGCCCTCGCGCTTTACTATCCAGCAGAGATTGACAAAAAACAATTGGAAGAAATGGAGTGAAGGCCGTTCACAGCGAGTGTCACAGAAAAGAACCGAGCGCAGGAAAGGAGGCACCAGGACTAAAACAAGCGAGGCCCTGAGGAGCAGCCACCCAGGGAGCTTGGGTCCCGCCAAAGAGGATGAAACGCCTCCAGGCTCGTGTCCGGGGCCCCTCGCTCCTGAAAAATCGCTGTCACTTTGGCCCAAAAATAAAAAAAGGTTTGAGTTGAGCAGGTGGTGTAAAAACCAAGGCAGCTGATGATTTGGGGGTGATGGCTAGTTAAGAGCAAAGCAAGACTATGGGGTAGAAAACTTTCTGATGAAAGCAGAGACAGGTTTGGAAGAAGACACCCCGATCCTATCTATGGACAAAAGTAACTCATGAGCGGGCTGGCGAGGTGGGCGCCAATGACCAGATGCTTTCAGGAAAGAAAACAGAAGCATTTTCCTTCCTGACAGAACAAAGCTTCTAGACCAATGGCTCCCAAATGCCCTGCATCCACCGGGCAGGTTCTGATGGCCTCACTGCTCCACGTGAAGCAGAAATGCAGACACCGGGAGGTGTGTGGACAGTGAGGCCTATTCCAGGGGAGAGCTGTTCCCTACTCTGAGACCTTTACCGCCCCCTCCCCACAACACACACCCATCTTTGATGAAAACAACAGAGAAGGCGCCTGGAGACTTACTTCCTGACCCTCATTTTAATAAGCTGCTAACCCAATGTGGGGCGGGGGAGATAAACTAATGGGCAAAATCTTAACCTCTGGGTAAAAAAGGTCACCTTGGTGCCTTTCAGAATTTTCCTGAAAGTCCTTGATTTTAGATGGGACATGGTCATGGCCCCAGACTAAGTGGTTCCCACTGTGGGTTACACCTGCCCCCTGGGGGTGGAGGGAGCTCAGGTTGTCATACCACACAGGGGACACTCGGGATGCTCAGCAGGTGAAGTCTGCATAACAGCCCCACGGGACAACTCTGAAGTCCCAAAAGCAGTGCCGGGCCCAAGTGTGAAGCTAGAGTGGGCCACACCCTTCTCCCTCCCTCTTGCTGCCTTTGCAGGACACAGGGGGCGCTGTGCCAAGGACCCTCCTCTGCCAGCCACCTGCCACGTCTCTCGGGGTCGGGGTGGCGGGGGGGGCACACTGCTGGAGAGAGAGGACCAGGGTGTTTGCACTTGCTCTGTCTGAATCTATTAACAGAGTCTACTGTGTTTTTAGCTCCTTTAATTAACAAACTAGAAAGCTGACCACTTCATGCTGCACCCGTAACTTTTATTCTCTCTGTTTCTAAGGACAATTTACATGTCCATAAAACCCAAGAGTCTGAGGCCCCCTGGTCTTCAGGATGAATATAAACTTCAAGCCAAACACCTGATAAATGATTCAGCACTCCCAGCCCTCCCCGCCATGCCGCCCCAGGACACCCTGAGCTCAGATCCACTGTACCTGCTTCTGGCTCTGCCCTGTCCTTTTCCACAGGATCTGCCGGGGTGTCTTGGGGTTCTTTCTTCTGGGGGGCTGAGCTGGAGAAGACGCCCACTGGAGCCCACTCCAGGTACAAGGGGATGTGGTGAAACTGTAGAGACAGGGGTGGGAGAGACACCTCTTACACAGACGGAGAGACAAGATGGGGCGGGAGGTGGGCTGAAGATAGACCCAGCAAAAACCGACTCCACGGTCTAACCCCAAACCTACGAACGTGATGAGATTTGGAAAAAAAGGTCTTTGCAAATGTTAGTAAGGGCGGGATCTGGAGGTGAGACCACACTAGATTATCGGATGGATCCTTCATCCCATGACAGTGTCCTAACAGAAAGGCAGAGGCAGACTGGAGTGACACAGACACAAGCCATGGACACCTGGAGCCCCCAGAAGCCAGAAGAGGTCAGGAAAGACCCTCCCCTAAAGCCCTTGAGGAGAACACGGCCCCGTAACACCTGGACTCAGACCTCCAACCCCCAGACCTGGGAACTGCATGACACCATGTTTCTGCTATTTCATCGCTGACTCTGGGGCTGCTTGTTACAGCAGCCATGAGACGCTAACACACTGCCGTGCACACGATTGTGTGTCTGCAAAGACCCTATTTCTTCTTTTTACCGAGAAACAAGAGGCAGGCCTGTACAGAACTGACTCAACTCACCACGGATTCAAGATGGCAGAAGCATGGCGGAGAACGTTCAAGTTAACGTGGGAAGGGAATGCCGAGGAAAAACCTAGGAAAGGCAGAGCCTGGCAAGGAGCCCAGGCTGCTCCCTGGAGGGTGGTCTGTGAGGGTCTCAGGGTGGGAAGGAGTCACAAGCATGACAGACGAGCGTTTTCAGCCAGCGCCTCCCCCACGCCAGGTCTCCGCTCCCTTATCCTCTCCCCACAAAGCAGGGCAACCCTACCTTGGAGTAGGCCAGCTGTCGGAAGGCCTTGCGGGCCTCCAGGGGCTCCAGGAACTCCACAATGGCAGTGATGCCACCTTCAGGCAGCAGCACACGGCCCAGGCTGCCAAAACGTCCGAAGGTCTCCTGGAGCTCAGCTGCCAGGGTGCCGGCTGGGAGGTTCTTCACTAGAATCACAGTCTGGCTTCGCTCTGCGGCTGCCTGTGGCAAGGAAGGGACAGCATGGGGCTACAGCAGGAAGGGTCCTGGCCTGACACCAGCACGGCTCTGTCGGTGACTGCAGACCATGTGGGTGCTCCTATGGGGCCGTCCAGGAGACTGAGACCCCTTGCAGCAGATAAGGCCTCGGGCTCCAGAGCGCACTCTGGTGAAACCCTGGCCCCTCCACTCCCGCACAGGGGCCCAAAGGGGAGGTTGGAAGTGATCTGACCAAGCCTCCAGATGAGGTTTCTGTAAGCCTAAGAGCTCCCGCTCCTGCTAGGTGGAGAGGTCTAAACCCCCACAGACAAGGGAGGTGCTAGGCAGGGGGACAGGGTGCTCAGGGCCCCTGAGGGAAAATGGTGGGTTACAAGGTAGCCCTCTTGTATGAGGTCCCTGGTCTGGGCCCATATGGTTTTCTTCTTTCTTTAGAGTGAACTATTGAGACATTAATGGCCCTTGCAAAGCCAGATCCTCAACCGCAAACCCTCCTGTGTCACCCGGTCTGGAGCTCCACCCTGGCTCTCCAGGCTCTGGCTCCCTGGTACCCACCTGGCTGAAGGAATCCAGACAGACCCCATGGTCCAGGAGGAAGCGCCGGACTTCTTGGACGAGCTGGGTCTCCCCCAGGGCCACACGCACGGCCACGCTGCCCCTGGTCTCCTGCAGGAGGGGACAAAGGAAGATGCCCAGTCAGCTGGCGGGCAGATGACGAACCAGCCCTCCCAGCGCAACAGCCCAAGGCAGTGGCCAGATGGAGACAGACCCGCTGGCGTCCTCACCCCCCACCTCAGCAGCCCTAGCTTCCCGAGGCTCAGAGGCCTGAGGCCCTGTTCACTCTGCTCACTCATTCTGAAGGAAAGTGTGGGCTCTGGAGGGGCGGTTGGGGTGGTGGGGAAGTCAGAGGACAGGGCAGACTTGGAGAGGAAGAGCAGGGGATGACCCTGGTGGGTGTGAAGTGAAGTCAGGCCAACCTAGTGCCACCCCACTTCTGTCTCTTTCCAGATGTGAACCAGGCCAGTTACTCCATGTCCCTGGGCCTCAGTTTCTCTATCTGGAAAGTGGGCACAGTAAGAGCCCTTCCTTTACAGGGCTGTGGAGGAGCACGGCCTCCCACTCATGGCCGGCGTGGAGGGCGTTACCAAGGCCCTCCCCTCTGGCTCCACTCCACACCTGGGGCCCACAACTTGTTATAAGAGGCCCCGGGGCCCACAGGTGACCCCTTTCTGCTGCCCCCCAGTCACTCACATGGTCAAACACTTGGCTCTTGGAGGCACTGTACTTCTGTGCGATGGCATCAGCCACGGCGTTCGGGCCCATGAAAAGGGTGTTCCAGTTGTGGGAGCTGAGAGGCAGAGGCAGAACTGGGAGGTCAGGGGGAGGGCGAAGGAGGGGAATCTTCTCTCAGCTGCAAAGCCACCTCCTCCCCAGAGGGCCAGATTCCCAGTACCCAGGGCCTGAAGAGGACAGGGCGACATTAACAACCCAAACACTGGTCTAGCCCGGGTCTGATCACTTAAGGAATATTACCCATCTGATCCCACAACGGGTTCAAGTAAAACACCACTGTGACTCCCCCCAGTTTGCAGATGAGGTCACGAGGCTTAGCAAGGTTAGGGCCGGGAGGTTAAATCCATCCCAAGGAGTCAGAGCCCCAGGGAGCTGGGAGGGCTGGGTGGGAGCAGCAGAGCCTGGCCTAGGTGGTGGGGGCGGGTAAGGACCTGGCGCTGTTGGCTTTATCTTTAGACTCTTTCTTCTTCTTGTAGGACGATGATCCAGGTGCGTCAGCATCTTCGCTGGCTTCCTTCTTGATGGTGGAGGGTAACACGTGGAGCATCCTGCCCTGGTGGGGGCGAGGGGGAAAAGAGAGGAAGCGGGCAGGCGTGTCTACATCCTGCCCAGGACCTCGGCCTCCATACTGTGGGGGGAACCCAGTGCTGAAACCCCCGGGAAAAGGAGGGCCCCTGGGTAGAATGAACACGTGGTCACCCTCCACCCAGAAAGGGAGCCTGGCCATGCAACTTGGCGCCTGCCCAAGGGGACAGTGATCAGCCTGGAAGGAATACCGGCAGCACCCCCTGCCCCCCAACACCTGGGCCCCTCCTGTCCCCGCATGTGCCAGGGAGAGCCTGGGCCCCACGAGGCAGGGTGACAGATCACGGAGGAAGGAATGAACAAGAGCAAGGGAGAGGAGGAGCCTGGGGCACCGGCACCAAGCACAGAACAGGGCGACACTGGCCGAAGAATTTTTCGTGGTCTGTTGCGGTTGTTAGTGTGGCCATGTTTCTGGAAGGATGGCAGGTTTGATTCATTTGGCAAATATTTGCTGAGTGCCTACTATGTGCCAGGCCCTGCTCTGGGTGCTCAAGACAGACCTGACCCCTGCTCTTGGGGAGCACCTTCCAGGCACTCCTGACAAGAGGTAGCTGGCAGGCCAGTGGGTGTGATTCCCTAGGCCTGAAACATGGGCACATATGTACATGTATGTACACACACACACACACACACACACTCTCAGCCTTTCTCAGTCACGTGAGCTCCACAGCACCCCATTCCTGAGCACTCACCTGGAACACCTGCCCATCCACTTCCGCATAGGCCTTCACAGCATGTTCAGGGAACATGAAGGTAACAAAGGCAAAGCCCTTGGGTTTCTTGGTCAGGCTGTCGATGGGGTAGTGGAGCTCAGACAGGGGACCTAAGAACGGAAGATGTGTCAGTGGGCCGGGACCAGGGCCTGTGCGCCAGCGAGAGGGGAGCCAGGGCCCGGCCCAAGTGGAAGAATCTGGTATGCAGGAGGCAGGCTGGGAAGTGACATAGTCTGCCCCATGCAGAGACCCCTCAGGGGCTCCTTGTTACCATACGGGCACCCACCAAGTACTCATCCTCTGCACCTCATAGCCAGCCTCCAAATAGAAATAGGGAGACTCTAAAGGCCTCACCCTGACTTCCTTCCCTCAACTACGGTGACCTCACAAGCAAATGCAGCTGTGCATGACCACACTGGGCTCCAGACTTCAAGTTCTTGTTCCAAGAACAAGAGCCAGGACAGTACAAATGACCCTCACCACCAAATCTACTTGTGCGCTCAGTTTGGGGAGGGCTCAGTTTAGACAGGAGAGGGCGTGGCCCGAGGAGCACTGTCTGCTCACACCTACAGGCCACGGGACAGCTCAGGACAGGATTTCCAAAGCTCTTTGGCTGTGTCTTCTGAGGTGAGAGCCTGGAGGACCTTTGCTAGGCACCCGTTAGCCCCCATGTGTCATGCCCCAGGCTTCAGAGCAGGACAGGGGTCACCAGCCCCAATTTATGGATCAGGAAAGTGAATCGAGAGGGCTGAAGTCACCGCCTTGGGTGAGGCTGAGGGGAGACGAACTGGGACTTGAACTAGGCCGGCAGGTCTCACCCCAGACTGAGGGGTGCATGCAGTGAGGGGGGGGTCACACCCCTACCGTATTTGGAGAAGAGCTCCTGCAGGTCCTCCTCGGAGCTAGTGTAAGGCAGGTTTCGCACAAAGAGCCTCCCAGAGTCAGCCAGGTCCTCCTCCTCTTCGTTCTCCGCAAGCGTCCGTCCTTGCCAGGCTTTGGCGCTGCTCCTTAGGGGTCCCTTGGTGACGGGGGTGCTCTTTTCCCTGAACACCTCGATGTAGCGGCGACCTGAGAGGAGAGTGGTCAGGGCTCCCACGGAGGCCAGGACTTTCCAGCCTCTCCTTGCTTCTTCCATGGCCACAGTGGCTGTTGGCCCGACACCAGGCCCTGGCCGGACCAGAAAGCCCTTTCAGATCCTCACTCACCCTGCGAGTTCAGTTTCAACCCAGTGCCTAGGACAGTGCCTGGCACATAGCTGACCCTCAACAAACATTTATGAAGCTAATGAATGAGTGGCTGAAGCCTGCACCCACAGAGCACCCCAGCCCCAGCCCGGCCCTCACCCATGTACTCTCTGTTGCACTTCAGAGCTTTCTTCACTTCCTCTTCGCTGCCGAAATCCACAAAGATGTACCCTAAGAAAGCACAAGGACAAAGGACAATCTGTAGGCCCTGTCAACACCCACACCATGCCCGCTGTTTGGGGCAATCTGAGCAGAAACTGGGGGGAAAACAATCACATTTTTGCCAAATCTCCAAGATACAGACTCCCTCTCACCCCTCCACCAGCTCCCCCATCCAATTTCCCTCTGCAGGGGGTGATCAGACACAGCGGCTGGCTGCTTTATCCATCATATATAGGTCTCCACCCCCAACCCCGGAGCCTGCTCTGGAGGAGACGCATGCGGCAGGGAGGTGACCCTGCTCCCTAACTCAGCTGCCCCTGCCCCGTCCTGCCCAGTTTCCCATCTGCCCCTCCAACCTGCCCAGATATGCCCAGGTCCCACCTGTTTTGTTGCCATGAGCATTTCTCACTATTCGAATAGCCACTGGTTTCAGGGGGGCCAGGAATTCTGTAACATTTTTCTACAAGGAAAAGCAAAGGTTTTTTCCTCTTCATCAATCCAGTAATACAAGGACAACAGCACAAGGTCAAGTTCTGTATTCAGGAAGGTCACCAAGAAGTGCTTCATCCTCCTTTGTTTCACTCCTTCCTCCCCTTCTGCATAAAATAAAACTACCTTGGGGTAGAAGGGGGATTTTATTTTATAATTGGATTAAAAAATGAAGGATGTAAGGAAAAGTGTAAAACTGTGACATCACCACCAGCCATTTAAGGCAGTGTCGCATCTTTTCATCCTAAGTGCTTTGTTATACATATTGGGGTTAAGTTTATCTCATTTCACTTCTCATTAAGCAAGAATATTTGTCCCTGAAACATATTAACGTAAATGTCCTACTGTAGACAGTCCCCAATTTTCTTAACGATGTTTCTACTTTTTTCTTTTAATTATGGTCTTTTTTTATTTTTGCGTAGAACTGGGGTACAGGCCAGAGATGCAGGGGGAAGAGGATTCACCAGAGACAGAGTGGGGAACAGAACAGGAGGATCTACTGAAATACACTGCTGAGGGGAGCAGCAGGCGAGGCAGGAGAGGTCTGCTGTGCCATTTGGGTCAGCTCCCTGGCTGGGGATCGAACTCAGGCCAAAGCAGTGATTAGCACTGAGACTTAACTCCTAGGCCAACAAGGAGGCCCCACTTTTACATTCTAAGAATGCAGCTTTCTGTTTATGTAAGCATTCTTTCAAATCCCTCAGTAGGACTGAACATTCTCTTTACACAGGACCTATAAAACTTTTACTAGAATGCCTATAAAGCCTCCCTTCACACACACATTCCATAATATTTGCTACAGTATCTAGAAGCAGGCTTTCCTTTGAGTCGACACAGAAAAAAGAATCTTTTCTTCCACTAGAGTTTCTTTGTTTTTGGAAAGAAGGGACTATTTTTTGTGGATTAATTTTGCAAAAAACCAACAGTTTACCTATTTTCTCAATTACAGCACGGGACTTTTGGAATGGCTGGTACTGAAAGAATTCTGACCCTAAAGAACTTGATAGTTCAGTCTCCTACAACCCAAATGCTTATGACTCAAAAGTTGGGTAACTTTTATTTGAAAAAAATGAGCAAATATATAGACTATCCAAAGACATGAAACCTTCACTAGAAAAGAGGGTAGAAGTGTTTACTTCGGCAGCACATATACTAGAAAAGAGGGTAGAAGAGACACTCGGACCATCTGCAAAAGAGGATATAATAGAAATGTGAAAGCATTTCTATTATGTCATTAACAATTTGAAATATAAATTAAAATGAGAGGCCCTTTTCACCTGTTGCATTGCTAGAGGCTAATCCCCAGGGTCCTAGAAGCAAGCAGCTCATACTCTGCTGAGAGGGCACACTGGTGAGACTTCCAGAGGACAAGTGACAGCTGTTTCACAGGCTCCCAGGGCACGGGCATGTGCTTGCATAAGGTATTTATCTGCAACAAGGGCTGGCAAACCATGGTTACCAGGTCCAGTGGCACTAGGGTTGCCTTTGCTTGGCCTATAAGCTAAGAAGTGCTTTTGTATTTTTGAAGGGTTATTAAAAGGTAAAACAGAGGGCCTCCCTGGTGGCGCAAGGGGTTAAGCTCAGCACGGTAAAGCTATCTGCAGCCACTGCAGCCGGAGTTGGAGCCCCTGCCAAATGGGGAGCTGACCCACATGGCGCAGCAGACCTCTCCTGTCTCACCCGCTGCTCCCCTCAGCAGTGTATTTCAGTCAGTCTGCCTGTTCTGCTCCCCACTCTGTCTCTGGTGAATCCTCTCACGCTCCCCACCTCTGGCCTGCACCCCAGTTCTTGTATGCATAAATGAATCTTTAAAAAAAAAAAAAAAAAGGTGAGAAAGACTGTGATTTAGAAAGCCTAAAATGTATACTAGCTAATAATCTTTACCGAAAAAATTCTGCTGACCTCCAAGCTCCAGGGATGCTGCCTGTTATTACTCATGACAGCAGACAACTGGGAACAACCCCCATGATCCCTTTTAGGGTCACATAAGCGCATCACAGTTCCTGCTGTACATTGCTTTTTCAAAATAAAAGACAGAGGTTGATGACAAAGAAGAAATGTCTGAGAAGGTAAATCTGGAATTCATTAGTAGTTGGCATGAGCAGGATGTGGGGTGGGGGAGGCTACCCAGTTTGCCCAGGACACTCAGGAATTACCCCTGTATGGACCCTAGCTGGTCACCACCTGGGGACTCTCCCCCCACTCTCAAAAGTTTGGACCATTTACAGAGTCATGTTGGCTTGAGGAGGTTTTTATCTTACTTCTTTTTATCTTCCTACATTTATAAATGTCCCACAGCGAACTTTTATTAGTTTCATAAAGAGGGAAATTTAAAAAGCATTCCCTGCTGTGGACCCAGGGTCAGCAAACTATGTGAACCAAACCTGGCCTGTTGCTTGCTTTTATAAATAAAGTTTTATTGGCACACAGTCATGGCAATTTGTTCACTGACAGTCTGTATAAGCCTCTGCTGAGGCCAAAGAGCTGAGTAGCAGCAATAGTGACCCTACCGATGAGAAAGTCCTAAATCTTTATCAACTGGTCCTTCTATTTTAACAGAAAAATGTTCGCCCATTATTAGCGCAGATGGTCAGGGCTTAGAGCCTGCTCGTCTTGTCACAGTTGGCCGTTTCCTGGCCCCGATGAGCTCTGAGATCAGTCTTTTAGGGTCTGTTTCCATTTAGCTCCACTGATGCTAAAGCCCCCACATAGGAGAGGCTCCTGGCATCCCCATCCTTGCCTCATTCCTTGCCAGGGGCTCCTAGCCCTTGTCCCCTATTAGCACATACCTCTGTGACATTGAAGGGCGCGCCCCGCAGCTTCACGGTGTAGGGGGTGGTGGGTTCCTTCTGGTTTGCTGGTTTCATCTGAGTGGCAGCAAAGAACAGAAACCGTCACAGTGCGGTCCCTGGGAGCAGCAGCAGGAGGCTGGGCAGGCATCTGGGGCCCTGTGCCTGCCTGGCCTGTGTGGTGTGGAGGTAAGGGTGGGCTCACAAGAGTCCCAGGCCAGGAGGGCCCAAGGGCAGGGGCAAGAGCCCCAGGGCACAGTATCACTGCTGCCATGGATTCCCGCCTGCTCTCTCCAGGCAGTTTTCAACACCACCCTCCTGTAGAGTCATTAATCTTACAGAGGTCATGGGCTCAGGACTTCTGTTGTCATTCTGGAAGCTAAACAGCTCTGAGAAACCTAAATGTTTCCTAAGCCCTTCAGCAACATGGCCTGCCTGATGTGAATTCGCTGGCCCCCAGAGCTGCTCTGAGCTGAGGCGAGGCAATCTGGGATGAGCATTTATCCCATGTAGCAGAGCGCATTTCAGATATTGCTGTGGAAATAGTCACATACTCCATCTGGGAGATTTGGATGCTCCCCATCACCACCCACATGTACCCTCGGGCAATCGCTTGCCTCACCTAAGCTTCAGTTTCCTCACCTGTAACACAGGACAAGAAGGATCTCAGTCCCCCGAGATTGTTATGAGGCTCAATGACCAATGACACTGAACCCAGCATGCAGTAATGCTCAGTTACTCTTATCTATTATCAGGAGCTCACAACTCTCTGTCCTGGTACTAAATACACAGTGTAACACCCATGTATCCACCAGCAGCTCATTTACACCCAGACTTGGAAGGCAGGTGACCTCCTGTGTCAGCCCCAGCACACGTCCCAGCCCAAGGTCACACAGCCTGCAAGCGCCAGGGCAGAGGGGAGAAGCCAGGTCTTCAGACTCAGGCTCAATCTCTTCTCTGTGCCACCTCCCCCACCAAGGGTTGCAGGGACACGGTGGCTCAGGTGGACCTCCCCTACCTCCCCAGGCTTCCGGGAGCCCCCAATCCCAGACCCCGAGCCACACACCTCACTGCTGGCCTCCCGGTGGCTTTTACTTCCCTTGGGAGCCCCCATCCTCTCTCTGTCCTGCTGGGTGGAGGCCTCACGGGAATTCTCCTCCTCTGCCTCACTCCCGTCCTCACAGTTTACGGCCTCATCTTCACTTTCCTCCTCCTCCGAGGACGATGGAGACTGGGCTGTCACCATCTTGGACTTGAGGTAGTCCATGTCTGACAGCTCCTTCTGTGCAGCGGCCTTGGGCTCAAGGCTGTTGTCCTCTGCAAAGACGGAAAGCGGGGGTGTGTGTGTTTGTGTCTGTGAGCATCCAGTGAGCCAGAGGCCTGGGCCCACTGACGGCCAGGCAAGACACTGTGGAGTGATTCGAGGTGCCAAGCCCACCGTGACCATGAGGCCCCAGCTCGTCCTCTGAGAAATAACATGATGTGGTGAAATGGCAGACTGAGCTATTTGACGTGGCCCAGGCTGAGCCTCCTCAGGTCATTCTTCCCAAAGGCCTGTTGGATTCTGGGAGTGTTGCTGTTCCACCATGAAAACCCTGCAGGGATCTCCGCCACTCTTGCGGTGCCAAGCCTGTGCCAGCGATTCACAGCTCCAGCTACCCCAAGGCCCTGGGAGCGCCCTCTAGCTCCTATACTCCTGTCTTCTGCCAGCCTTTGCCACGCTGCTCCCTCCACCCTCCCTGACCAGGTCCCACCAACCCAAGGATGCCTTCAGATGCCAGCTTTGCACAGAAGCGTCACCAGGCGCAGAATTCCCACCGAGTCCATTCTCCTACCTTCATACCCAGATCAACTCCCGCTCCTCGCCCACCACACTCACCAGCGCTGCAGACACTCAGGTGCCCAGCTGTGTCCCCAGGGCTTGGCGGCCCCTCTGAGGACAGAGGCCCACTCCCCCACCTCCTGTGGGCCACGGCCCAAGGGTCACTTCCTCAGAGGCCTTCCCTGCCAATGCTCCGATGCTGTCCCTGCTCCCTGTCGGGGCAGCTGTCACCAGAGACCAGACAGAAGAGTGTGTTCTGGACAGCTCTGCCTCCTGTGTGCGGTCGGCAGCGCCACCAGGGCAGGAGTCTTGTCTTTTGCTCCCTGTTGTGTCCCCAATGCCTAGAGCAGTGCCTGGCACAGGACAGAGGCTCCGTAAACACGTAACTGACTAAGTGGACACGTGACCAGAATCCGTGAAGGTGCTGTCCCTTGGGGTGGGATGTTCACTCCACTAGGGAGCAGTCTCTGCCTCAGCCCCCGTGTCACACACACACACAGACACATGCACAGGGGAGCACACAGGCACGCTCTTACCTTCCCCGTCCTCCCCAGCTGCCTCCTCCTCACTTTCCTGCCCCGAATCAGAGTCGAAGTTCAGGTAGTCGCTGGCTGGCTTGCTCTTGCCTTTCACGGACTCGGAGGCCAGGGCGTCATTCGCCCAAGTGGCCGCCTGCGCCCGCTTCTGGTGAACAGACAGGAACTCCTGGAAGCTGGTGTCCTCCTTCAGCTGGAGGCAGCAGAGCGGGTGGCGGGAATAGAGAAGAACAGACAAGGCTCAGGCCGGGCTCACCCTCCCAACTGTCAAAGGCTAAGCGTGTCCTCCAAGTCCATGTCCCAGGCCGGGTCAGTCCCGGGGAGGGCAGCGTGGAATCCTCATCAGACAAGACAAGGAAGCCACGGAGATGTGACAGGGGGGATGCCAGGCCCCCTCTGCTTGTCTGGCCGGACTCAGTCTCCTCCTGATTCTCCTCCCAGGAGCCCCCAGGGCCCTGCCAGCAAGACAGACTCACCTTGTCCAGTTCACTTGCTGCCTTTTTCTTCTTGTCACCCTGAAAAGAGGCAGTCAGTGAGGGAAGAGTCTGCCTCCAAGAACCACCCAAGAGGGATCCTCAGGTCATGCCCACTCCCGCTGCCGAGCCCTCCCGGGTGACCACCCTGCTGACACCATGGACACGGCAGGAGCGACTCTTGACGCACTTTCTTTGTTTCGGGGGGCACGGAGTCTCTGTCTTTTGAAGACTGCTTGGGCTGGCTGGGCTTCTGGGCGTGCTTGCTCCAGGCTCGGGGCTTGGTCGGGTCCCCGAATGACTTGCAGAACTCCACCTGCATGGCAAGAGGGTGGGGTGGAGAGATTCCATATGCCAGGGGTCTTTAGTGGGGGGACCATTCCTCTCCCCACTTCCAGATGGGACACTGAAGCACAGAGAAGAAACTGCATAATCACCCAGACAGCGGGTGACAGGGGTGAGGGGACAGGGTCCAGAGTCAAGTTCTTAGCCATAGCCTCCAGGGGCGATGCGAGGGAGAGCCAGATGACACAAGCACAGGCGACACCAGTGAACTGCTGACAATGCCCCCCAATCATGTGAAGTGAGCTCCACGGGCCCCAGAGAGAAACAGGGAAGGAGAAACAGGGTGAGCACTTGGGTGCAGGAAAGGTGTGGGGTGTTAACCTGACACACCCCGTTCCCACCAGGGCCTTTGAGAGAGGTGGTGCTGGGAAACACCAAGGACACACGCAGCCACAGTCAAGGGGGCTTGGCTGGACACACGCAGCCACAGTCAAGGACAGTGGCCCACAGTGGCCTCTGTCACACTCCTTTAAGCGGCTGCTCTAAACAGCTTTTTCCATAAAAATGGGGCACTCACTGCCTGGCAAGAAAACATTGTTTTTTTTAAATCCTAATTTCTATTGCCCAGAGAGAGGAGTCAATATTTGGATAGAAGCCTCCCACGTGGCTCTGTACACACCACACATGCAGACGAAGGGTTGAGACTACACATTTGGTTTTTTCCTTAACAATGTGTTACAGGGCCTCCCTGGTGGCGTGGGGTTAAGCTCAGCCACCAAGCTATCACCAGCCACTGCGGCTAAGTTCAATCCCCCGCCAGGGAGCTGACCCACATGGCGCAGCAGGCCTCTCCTATTTCCCCGCTGCTCCCCTCAGCTGTGTGTTCCAGTAGATCCACCTGTTCTGCTCCCCACTCCATCTCTGGTGAATCCTCTCACCCCTTACACCCCAGTTCTTGTATGCATAAATAAAATAAATCTTAAGAAAACAATGTTACAGATGCTTTATTAACTAAAAATGCACCTGAGTGTCACCAGTGGGACCTCCTCTTCCAGGAAGCTTGTGTGCCCATGGGGCTCCCCAGGAGCGAGTTGAGATGAGGCAGGAGTCTGAGCGTGCTTTCCAGGGGGACCTGACCAAACACTGACTCCAACACATCCTAGCTCTGGTGCTGTCCCATCACAGCACTGATGATGCTGATAACCAGCAGCCTGCTTATCTGCTGGCCTGTCTTCCACTTGCCTGTAGGCTGTGAGGACAGGGGCCAGGGGTACCCATTTCTCTAAATCCTAACACCACACAGGTGCTCATGGAGGGCTTGCTATGGGTGAGGGAATGACTTAGAGTGGGGTTTGGGGAGAGCAACATGGGCACCATCTGTGAGCTGGTCCCACATGCAAATTCTTGTCCCCAATACTGAGTCAGGAAGCCTGGGATTGGGGCCCAGGACCTTATTTTAACAAGTTCTCCTGGGGATCTGTAGGCATACAAGTTTGAGAGTCCTCGAAGACCTAAGGCATCCCAGTCTGAGAGGGTGGGAAAGATCAAGCGGGGTCCCTATGTGTAGCTAGCCAGGGGAGACTCACCGTGATCCGGGAAGTGTCAAGGAAACTCCTGTGGAAGTGGTCCTGTGCCCTCTGGGCCTCCTCCTCGGACTTGAAGCCAATGAAGCCGAACTTGCGAAACTTGCCATCTTTGGTGAACTTGAGGCTGCAGTCTGTCAGTGTACCGAAGGCGGCGAATAACTGTCTGAAACGCTCTTCCTTCATCTGGGACAGAAGGAGCACAATGAGGGAGGAGCTAGGAGTCCTCAGAGCCAAGGGGACAGAAACCCTAAGCCATTGGGACAGAAACCCTAAGGCATGGGGCTCCCCAGGAGTGAGCTGAGATGAGTCAGGGGCCTGAGTATGCTTTGCAGGGGGACCTGACCCAACGCTGACTCCAACACGTCCTAGCTCTGTGGCCCTGAACCTGTCCCTGACCCACGTCACCGATAAGGACATGAGACCTCACAATGGCGGCAGTGAAATCCTCCTGTACTCTGGCAGCGAGGGGAAGGAGGCTAGCTGTAAAAGGACCCAGCAGTGCGGATGCTACATAGGAAAGACCTAATAAGTGTCCTACCACACACACAAGATGCCTATGTCCTAATCCCTGGGACCCACAACTGACGCCTTACAGATCAAAGGGGATTTTGCAGATGTGATTACATGAAGGATTCTGAGATGGAAAGATGGTCCTGGATTACCAAGGTGGACCCAATAAGGAATCCCTGAGGAGAGGGGGTGGATAGAAGCAGAGTGTGGGAGACGCTCTGCTGCTGGATTTTTTAGATTTAGGACATGGTCATGAGCCAAAGAAGGCAGGCAATCTCTCCAGAAGTTGAAAAAAAGGCAAGGAAACAGATTTTCCCCTAGAGCCTCTGGAAGGAACGCAGCCCTGACAAAACCAAGATTTCAGGATCTCTGAGCTCCAAAGCTGTAAGAAAATAAATGTGTACTGTTTAAGCCACTCCATGTGGCAGCAACAAAACAGGGTGAACATTTGGTCAAGGAGCATCACACTCTGCAAAACTGGCTCCTGGCTCCCCACCATTCTCACTCCAGCCACTCTCACATCTCTGGGACTTTTCTAAGCAGCTCTGGGGAGATTTGTGTGTGTGTGTGTAGGGTAAATGAAAAAGTATCAGACTTTTCTGCCCTCCCGCCATTAGGATTGATGCTGGATCCTTGTGGTCCTGAATGCATGCCTGATGGCGGGCACCAGGAGTAGGGTGTGGGAATGCGTAAGTGGGTACACCTATGTTGAGAGACTGGCTATAAGGGCGGCATGACAGGGACACCAATAGAGCAGAGAATAGAAGCAGAGAGAGCCAGAGAGCCCAGAAAGAGAGAGGAGTTGCTGGGGGCTGGGAGGCCTGCCAGGCTCCCCCTTCCCCGGCCCCGCCTCCAGCACGTCTGCCTGCCTGCCGTGTACCTGGTAAATCCCAATAAAAGCCTGCAAAAAACACTGAGGGCTCCAGGACTCCTCCTTTACCACGTCTGCTCGGATCATAGAGATCCTGCTCTGGCCCATCCTGCCCCCTAAAGTTTGGTAGAGGGATGGAGGGGCACTCTGGGCCCCACAAACAACCAAAACAAGTTTTAAAATTCAAGAATTCAAAAGTCTTGACAGCCCAGTTGGAAGGAAAAAGACATTTCCTGAGGCAAGATCTTAACAACTCTCATCTCACTGCAACCTCACATTCACAGGTTGAGTGTGAAATTATCTGCATTGCATAGCAAAGGGTGTTCGCAGAGGATAAGTAATCCATGCAAGGTCTCCAGAGCCAAGGCCTGTGCCCCAGGCAGTGCATCATCTTCCCCAGAATCTGAGAAACCGCGCTCAAGTCTGGCCCCATCACTTCACAGTGCCCAACACCAAAGGCTGTTAAAGTACAACGGGAGGTTGTTCAGGACCTGGTCCCGACCCAGCTCCTCGGCGGGTCTCTTGCTGAAAGCCTTCTCGCAGCCTCCTCGGCTTCTCCCCTCTGAGGTCTGTCTCCTCTGAGTGAAAGCCCCTCAATTCTCCCCATCCGCTTCCTCCCAACCCCAGTGATCGGCTGACCCCAATTTCATATTTTCTTCACTCACCCCATTCGGGAGGTTCTTCACGATTAGTCGCGACATGGCGCACGGTCCCCGCGGTTCTGATTCCGGCACGACAGCACACGGTCGTTTACAACAACTTTCACGCTACAGCTATGGGCGCCGCCATCTTTGACGAGGCGGAACAAAGTCACGTGCTCCCGAGCGAGGCCGGCCCTCCCCGGAAGTAGGCGTGGCCACACCCGACCGCCCCAAGGAAGTCACCCCCGCACGGGGCGGGCCTGCGCGCTTGCACCCTGCGCATGCGCGGGCTGTTCGGCGGCGGCCGGAGAGACCAATTCGGGGGCGCCGCCGGCAGGGGGCGCTGCTGCCGGCCATTAGGGGCAGTTTGCCCTGGGGGGCTCCGAGCGCGGCGAGCAGGAAAATCATTTCGGTTCCTCTATTTTATTATTGAATCCAAAAACTTCTTTTCCCTGAGCTGGGGAGCGGAAGTAGCGATGGTAGCGATGGGGACACGGACTCAGGAGGACACCAGGCCCCAGGACCCCATGGCTGGGCATCGCCCCCAGCTGTCAGGGGGGTGTTGGGGGTGACTGTCTCCTGTCTGCAGGGAGCAATTGCGAACCCCACGAGCCCAGCGGTTTGCTCCGAGTTCTGCAGCTATTAGAATTAAGTAGCATTAATTAAGGTGAGCGGGTGATGGGCTGCCCTGGCTGCCTAGGCCTGCTACCACCAATGACCTGCCAGAAACGTAGCCACGGAAAATAACAGAACTGTATTGTCTCCCTGCTCCAGAGCCCAGAAAACACAGAATCAGAGTGTGGGGCGGGCCCGGCTCCCCGGGGAGATGCCGTCCTGCTGCCAGAGGCGCCAGGCGACCTGGCCCTGGCTGTCTGGCTCCAGCCTGCCCCCCACTTCAGTGACCCACTCAGATCTGCCTCCCTCCCTCTCCTCTCACCTAGTAGGGCACCTGCTGCTGGATTTCGGGCTTATCCTAAACCCAGAATGATCTCATGTCGCCATCCTGGACTTAATTCCATCTGCAAATACTCTCTCCCAGATAAGGTCATAGTCACAGGTTCCTGGGATCTGGGCGTGGGCATATCTTTTAGGGGGACACTATGAAACCCACTCTGTGAGGGTTTGCTTGCTTTGCAGTGGGCTACTCTAGAGATTAAATTTCACCTTCTCCTGTCTTAGGGAGACTGTCTACTCCACACAGGTACACGTGTAAAAATGTACCCTCAAGCTTAGAGTAAATGTCTTAAGGGGTCACTGTGTTTCGAAGTCGTTCGTTTGTTCAACAGATACTCGTGTATGAAAGTGTTCTTTAATTAAATGACAATTAGGGGTTTGTTTTCTGCACATGGCGACCCTGGGCCGGACAGGCTGGAGCAGGCTTTACAAGGCAGCTCTGAGATATTAGTCTTTTATGAGAGGGCAAGGCACTGCCCAGCCAGGCCTGGTTTCATGTACTTTTATTTTATTATTTTCATGAACTGCCTTTATTAAAACGTGCAACTAAATGTAGCCTTCCCTGAAGAAATTCACAAATCAGAAGGTCTTTCAAAGGTATTTAAAAAAAAAAAAAAAAAGGAATGCTCTTTGCCAATCCCCAAGTCCCAACGCCAGGGAAATATGGTCGCCACATGTCAGGGGAAGGAGGGACGCTTCGGGGCTGTAGAGTCCCATGAATTTAATAAACAGTCACCTTATAACATTATGATTAGTCTCCCTGCTCTCCCGCCTTCCCGCTTTGTCTCCTGCCTCCTTTTCTCCCCCAGCAAATATAATCCAGGGACACCTGGACCCCATGGGACTGACTACCAGTGACATGGGGGATTTAAAAAAAACAGGCAGGTGTAAGCCAGTTCCACCCATGGCCTTCAGGAGTGATCTTGGGGTACAAGAACTCATGAATTGCTCCTGAGGACTAACATCCCACCTTTGTCAGCAGTGGGGAGAGATCATAAAGGGGGTGGGAGAGGCAGGATGGAGAGAGGAGACTAAAGTCTCGATTTCTCCATGTGTCACTTGCTCTCTGTCCCAATGGATGACACCAGTGTCCACCCAGCTGCTCTGACCCCCAGAAAAATGGGGGTTGTCCCTAAGTCTCTTCCCCAAAGCTCATGTCGAATGTATCTTCAACTTCTGCCTACCCCTCTCCTAAAGATTTGACAAAACCGTAACTACCCCATCTCCACCAACATCAGCAGCCTGTTCCAAGCACCAGGGTGTTCATGCCCCGCTGCGCCTCTAACCCATCAGCACAAGCCTAGTGACTTCCAACCACACATGCTGTTGTGCGCCAGCACTGAGTTCAGATGCCCTGCGGTGCAGGTGGGCAGGGCGGTGTTCTTTCCTGAGACTCCGCTTCCTGGTCTCCGCCCATGTCAATAGCCCCTTCCCGGCTCGTGGCCCCACCACCCCGTCCCCGAAGCCAGCAGTGGAGCGTCTACCCAGCCCTCCTGTATCTTCTCGTCGCTCTGACCCTCCTGCCCCCTCTTCTGAGTACTTGGTGACCACCCTGGTTCCCCCAGATCATCCTGGAGAACCTCCCCATCTGGGGCTCTTTCTGTTAAAACCAAACCCAGACCTGTCCCTCCTCTCCCTAAACCTTCCTGGGGGTCCTGCATCTGATCCAGAGCACACGCTCTTATCTTGGCCCGTCCCTTTGCTTCAGCCATTCCAGCCTCCTGCTGGTCCTCAGCCCTGCCAAGCGGCCTCCTGCCGCAGGACCTTTGCACTTGCCATTCCCTCTGCTGCCACCAAGCTTTCCAGATACCCGCCCAGCTGCCTTCAGTTCTCTGCTCCCCAGAAAGGCCCTTCCTGGCCACCCTGTCTGAAATGGGACCCCCATGCCTTCCTACCCCACTCGCACCCCACTGCCTTCTCATAGGGTCGTCCCCTCCTGGCGCCTGAGTGCCTGGTGCTCTTTTCCTCCCTACGGGACACCCGACTCCATCTGAGCAGAGATTGTGTGTGATTTGTTCATGGGGGACTCCGGCCCCAGCCCAGCGCCTGGCCCCGATGCAGAGGCTGAGCATGGCGGGAGGAGAAGGGAGGTCTGCTCCCTGGGTGCAACTCCTGGCTCTCCACATCCCAGCCAGGGGGCCCTGGCAAACCGCTGGTCTGATGCAAAACTTGCCCTCTTTCTCTTCAGCAGACAAAGGCTTGGCAGATCGTGGATGAGCGCGTGCGCCTGTGCGGGGCGGTGGGTCTGAGCTGTTTTCTTTTGTGTAAAATAGGGTAACAGTGGTAGCCGGCGGCGAGGCATGCGGTCAGAGTAGAATCTAACCGCGTGTGTGCAGGGCCGTGCTCGGGAATTCCTGTGTGCGTATCTTGACTATAATCTAAAAACACAATTGATCAAAAAAGAAAATTTTTAGGCAATACCTGCATCTCCTTCCCCAATTCACAGAATATTAACATTCACCCCCTTAGATGGGGGTGATTGTTATGAGTCTTTGTGATTGTTATGAGTCATCTGTGCTTACCTTCGCAGACTCCAAGGCCTTCACCCCCAAACTCTCCTCTGGGAACCCCATGCGTAAGCACAGCGCAGTCAGATTTGGGGAATTCAATGTCGATAGTTTTTATCCATTCATTTCCACAACCTCCCAGTCTTCGTGTCCCCAGAGCGTGGTTCCTACAGGCCTCCCCCACTTTCCCTGCCCTAGCAGATCCATCCCCCCTCATGGGACACCCCTCGGGGATCTGGAGGCCACGGCTGTCCCAGCCCCTGCTCCTCTGGCATAGCCTCTGAGCCTCCCTAGATTCTGGCGATGATACCCCCCGCCCCCCAAGATTCCCCTGTTATGAAAGTCATTTATGGGCTTTACAAAGTTCGCCAGTGTGCACAAAGGCTCCAAGATCGTCCACTTTCATTTTTATAGGTTCTGACCACAGGTCTGGGGAAACGGTCTCCCCCCCCAAAACCTGGGGAAACTGAGGCCCAGAAAGGCACCCTGTGCTTGTGATCACACAGCAGAGACCAAGGCCAGGTTGGCGTGGGCTCCTCTTGCTTCTCCTCACGGGTGAGCATCCCGGGGCCAGGGAGTCAGGGAAGAAAGAGGGGTGCTGGGTGTCACCCCGACTCATTCTGTGCGGCCGCAGAGTGGAGAATGGCAGCTAAATAGACGGGGCAAGGAGAGCGCAGAGTGTGACAGGCCTCCCTGGGGCTCCGCCACCAGGAAGGGACAGGCCACACTGACCACTGTGCCATGCAGCGTGGACACCGCCCCTTGAACCGTCAAGGTCAGCTCGACGCCGCTTTGGGAGTTTGGATCTTGGTGTCCCAGCGCTCTGGCTGAAAGTCCACCCTTTGCTGCCTTTTCTAATTGTCTGGGAGTCACCCCCACGCCCCCATCTCTGCCTCTGGGAGAAAGGCTGCCTGCGATGGTACAGATGTGCCAGCAGGCAGCGCCAGAGGATCGCGTACAGAGCCGCGCTGCGCAGCCCAGTCCTCGCCAAAGACTTGTCCCCGCACTGGCTTGTCCCACAACAGATGCGCTTACTCCTGGTCCCACCCCTTCAGGAAGCTGGAACCCTGTCTCCTTGCCTGCAGAAGCCCACGCAAAACCACGCCTGCCTCGAGTAGGTCAACGGATATTTCTGGATAAATAAAGGTATTGGAACCAGAGCCAGGTAAAGGAAAAAAGTATCCAGAGGGGTTTTATGCAGCCAGCAAGAGGGAGAACAGGGGAGGCAGGCAGGGGAACTCTGTCGAGAGGTACCCAAGCAGGGCAAGGTCACTGAGTTCCCGGATGTACTTTGATGGGGGGGACCCCAGAGTTGGGGGGGACCCCAGAGTTGGGGGCAGGTAAAGGAGCTGCCAAGGATCTCAGGGCACCAGGACCAGGTCACACGCTGACAAATGCCTCCCCCCCACATGTCTACACCTGAAACTCTGTAGCCTGAGAATGTTACCTGCTATAAACCCCCAAAAGAGAGGGGGTATCTCTGCAGATGTAAGGATTTTGAAGTAAGATTATCCTGGGTTATCCGGGTAGAATCTCCTAGGAGAGGGACGGGGAAATGGATTTTCTCCCAAAGCCTCCGGAGGGAGTGAGACTCTACTCACCCGAAGTTTCAGACCAGCAGACCTGACTTTGAACGTTGGATTCTGGACCATGAGAAAATTCTTTTGCATTATTTCACAGTGTCAAGTTTGTGGCAACCATTACAACAGCCACAGGAGAGGAAGACA